ATCTTCGTTTGAAACTGGACGTACATTGCAAATTTTTGGACACATGTATATATGCGTGATTTTCTATTGTCTGTTATTTCTATGTGTAGTCACCTTTACTTTTCGCTCCAAGATCGCTCCAAACTTCAACCACATCATATTGTAGTCTTTTTCAAATAATTATGTATATATTATGTATGAAAATAATTATGTATTTTTGATGTCAGTTTATGACATTGTGTGAGTGATAAGAAATATAAGAATTTACGTCATTTTTAGGATGTTTAGATGTCAAAGAGCTTATTAAAATAAGGTGGAAATTACAAAAGTAATTGAATTTACTAGAATATTTGTAACTTCAACACCTAGCAAATTTGTTTATTTTTGTAATTTTCACTTTGTCTCAGGAACCGTATAGATTCATCATAAGAATAACTAATTAATGACGCCAAATGGACGACTTGCTACCATCAATAACACGAAAAAAACGACGTATTTTTGACGTCGACTTATGACGTTATGTACCTGTGATAAATCCACGTCATTTTTATGATGTTTGGATGTCATTTTAAACGTCACATTCGTCATAAGAATGACTAATTAATAACGTTAAATAGACACCTTGATACCTGGGATGTTTATATATGTTATACGTATTTATACATGCATATTCATGCATGACAAATTTTTTACCGAATATTTGAAACACAAAATACAAATTGTATTTTAAATACAAGTATTTGAAATGTGTCCAGCTTCATTATATTTTTATTGTTAAGAATGAAATTATAACATTGATGTTATGATATTGTTAGTTGGTATTGACTGACTGGTATTGTAAGTTGCACTTTGAAAGTTGACACTAAAAGGGTTACGAAATGTGTTCATATAAATTGAAAAGTTTAGAATAAAATTACATACCTTGCACTTACTTTCCACCATTCATCTATTAAATTCCTATCCACCTTGACACCCATCATGGTATCTTTACACATAGCAACATATAAAAGAAACTTTTGAATCAATATGTTGACTATGTAGAGTTTTTTAGAAAAAAAAATACTTATTTGTCAACTAAATTCGAAAATGTTATGAAAATCGAGATAAAATTATTAATTACTGAAAATCATAAAATGTTCTTTAAGATTTGTATATACAAGGTGTCAGGTAAGTTTTAACAAAGCGCTCGTGTGTAGATAGAACGGACTAAACTGAGACGAAAAGTCCTCTGCAAAATTTTCGCAATAATTAACAATATATTAATTAATCGAAAGAAAAAACGGCTACGAACCTAAAATTAATCGTTATAAATTAAAATTTTAAACCGTTAATGAATAAAACATGTCATATAGTTAAAATATAAAACTTTAATTTGCCGGCAATGAACAATAAAATAAAAACAAACGTTTCGATCCCTGTTGGATCATTCTCAATGTTAACAAAAATAATAGTTGAATTATTACAAAGTTAAGATATATGTGTGAAAATTATAATTCGCTCTCAATCGCAGTATTAATATTATCAAACTCGCTTAGTATGAAATAAATATTATAAGAATGTTGTGTAATCGGTAACCATGTATTCTTCTGGTTTATGTATGTAGATTATAGACAAATATAATTGTTTCTGTCAAAAAGTACAAATATAATTTAAAAAATGTAATAGTATTATAATAAATAATTAAATGTAATCTAATAAGAGAAATACAAACGAAGCAAGGAATAAAAATAAAAAAGTAATCTAATATTATAAGAAATGTAAACTAAAATCATTAATACTAATTGAAATTGTGCGATGTACAGTCATAAAATATATATATTTAATTTAGTAGAAGCTAAATTAAATGATAATAAATACCTTATAATTGTGCATCAATATAATATAAAAGTCGTCTATTATGTAAATATCATATTCGGGTAGATATTTGTTTTTCTTTTCTAACCATCCTTTATGTCATAAGATCGGTACAATATATAGCCTCGTTGATAGAGCTGTCTTGCTTTCACATCCGTCATACCATCAAAAGAACTTACAATTTGTGGTAGATGCATTAATAAATAATGGTAAATAACAAATGGTATAAATGATATAAATAATAAATGGTATAAGACTGCTGTTGAGACCAGAAGCATTAATCTTGATAATTATATTATTTTGATCGTCATTTTACATACGACTATGGTTGTGACCAGTAGCATAAATCTTAAAAATTATTGTAAGTTCGCTTTCACTATGTATACATTCTATGTTTAAATTTAATTTAATTCTTATTGTAACAATTATCATTCTCAAATTTTATATATACACAGTGCGACAAATATGTTCCCGGACAGGGCCTGAAAATCATAATTGAAACAACAAATATGCATATTTTTTGGTTTTATTATTCAAAATATTCTCCTCTGGCTTCAATACACTTGTTACAGCGATTCAATAGTGATTCAAATGCATGTTCTAGCTCAGTTTGCGGAATTGCCTCTAGTGCCTGTGTAGAAGCTGATTGGATGGTCGAAATGTCATCAAAAAAGCGTCCTTTCAATTTCAATTTCAATTTTGGGAATAATGAGAAGTCGCAGGGGGCCAAATCAGGTGAATACGGTGGATGGTTTAATACAGAGACACGATTTCGAGCCAAAAATTGACGGATAATCAATGAAGTGTGACTCGGTACATTATCATGCAACAAAGACCAATCTTCTGGATCACGATATTCGGAGCGAATACGATGAATTCTGCCTATCAATCGCTTTAACTTTAAAACTTCGAGATAATATACACCGGTAATTGTTTGGCCAGTTGGAACAAACTCTTTGTGGATAATACCTTTGCTATCAAAGAATGTGATGAGCATTGTCTTGATTTTTGATGGAACTTTTCGTACTTTTTTTGCTTGTGGTGAATTTTTTGACTTTCATTCCGCACTTAGTTTCTGGATCATATTGAAAGCACCATGTTTCATCACCCGTAACAATTGATTTTAGGAAGTTTGGATTTTCTGCGGCTGCAACGATGTCTCTGGAATGATTGATTCTCATTGATTTTTGATCACTTCTTAATGTGTGTGGAACAAACTTCGCACAAACCTTCGTTTTATCCAAATCTTCATGTAATATGGTTCGAATCGTTTCTCTACTGATATTTAAAGCCTCCTCCATCATTCTTAGTGATGCATTGCGATCGTTTGCAACAAAATCGCGTACTTTTTCGATCATTTCGGGTGTTCGAACCAAAATTGGCCGTCCTGATTTTTTGTCATCTTCAAGGGTCTCTCTGCCTTCCAAAAAACGCTTATGCCACTCAAAAACAACTGTACGACCTAGACATTGACTGCCGTAAACTTGTTGCATCAATCGGAATGTTTCTGATGCACTTTTATCAAGTTTTGCGTTGAATTTAATGCTCTTTGTTCCATATTAAAATTTCTACCTCGACCAAAATCTTGTTTAACATGAACTGTCATATCTTCGTTATATGTCAACCAAAATGAATGAAACTTTGACAGATGATAGGGAAATGTTCAACCTTTAAAATGCATGTTTGAACGCACAGATGTCGCCACTGGTTGCTGAGATGTGGTTCGTGTCCGGGAACATATTTGTCGCACTGTGTATTAACAGATGTTGCTGTAATACAAAATGATGTGAATAATGGTTTGCATGTTATACAACATATAAGAGACACATAACGGTTATGAATATGAGAATTAATTTTATTAAAGATGACTAGACAGAATTTTATTTATTGACTACATTTGATTCCGGATTTTTTGTTATTATGTAATATTTTAACAACTTTTATGTAAATTATTGAGACTTTGATGAAGACTTTGTAAAGTCGAAACTAGTTTCGTGCGATTTATTGTAATTTTAACATTAAAATTATTATAAGAGTTTATTATATTTTAATATCTTATTATTCGCTCGTTTTTGGCCGTCATTTATATATAATTTTATTGTGTTTTAAACAATTTTTATCTTTTGCAGTTTTTCTGTAAAGTTGATAGTATTTGAGAAAAAAATTATTGAAAACAATATTCGATAACAATTATAATAATATCTTGTTAACTAGAGAACTTTTTAGAGAACTTGTAGAGAACTTTTTTCTCAGTTTAGTCCACTCTATCTATACACGAGCGCTTTGTCAAAACTTACCGGATACCCAGCTATACTTTGTATACTTGATATGTCTCTAAAATAAAATTACATATTTAGGTATTGAAAAATAAATAATAAATGTGTATACGTGCGTGCGTGCGTGCGTGTGTGTAAAATTGACGTTTGTTAGTGAAATATTCTTGGCAATTTTTCTTTTCATTCTCTGAGGTTTTTGATGGGGTTAACTAAATGGTATACATGTGATAGATAGTATTATCTACAATGGTGCCAAGGATATATTTAAAATTTGTAATTACTATTGTATAAAAAACTAATAACATTATGATGTCGCTATGTTTTCATTTAAAAATTAATTGCAGCTTTATAACATAAAATCGTTAACTTATATAGGTAATTCTAATAATTTAATCACTCACTGTACTATTTTTTGTTTCTCTTTAAACCATATTATTTTTGTCCGAAACATTTTAAACGCAATCTACATAAAACGCAGAACATAGGTCACAAGTGAAACGTATTTCAGATTGTAATAGGTCGCAGACCATAATACGTAGGACGCAAAACGCAGGACGCGAAAGTAAAGCCCATTCTACATAAGACGCAGAACACGGGTCGCGGGACGCAAAACTAGAAATTAACCTAACATATTTTAATTATGATATGATTATAGGACACAGAACGCAGGACGCAGAAAGTTGGGTGAACTTCAACTTTCGCGTCCTACGTATTGCGTCCTACATACGTATTGCGGTCTGTGACCTATAATCTGAAATACTTCACTTGCGACCTGCGACCTGCATTCTGTATCTAATATAGATCGGGCTTTACTGTTATAATTATACTGATATACAGGCCCTCTCGACCTTTTTTGCCAATCATTTTTGTGTAGATAGGGCGGACTAAACTGAGTCGAAAAGTCCTCTAGACCTGCGACCTGCGTTCTGTATCTAATATAGATCGGGCTTTACTGTTATAATTATACTGATATACAGGCCCTCCCGACCTTTTTTGCCAATCATTTTTGTGTAGATAGGGCGGACTAAACTGAGTCGAAAAGTCCTCTACCATTTTGCAATTTTCACAATAGTTAACAAGATATTAATTACTAAAAATTGCCAAATATTAGTCTTGAATAATTTTTTACTCAAATACTATCAACTTTACAGAAAAACTGCAAGAGACAAAAATTATTTATTTTCTTCTCATAAAGTTCTGAGAATTTTTTCAGGATTTTTTATCAACTTTTTAGTACTGCATTTTCTTATTTTTACCGATATGAGAAAATACGGTATTAAAAAATTCTGAAAAAATTTTAAAAAAATTCTCAGAACTTTATGAGAAGAAAATAAATAATTTTTATCTGTTACAGTTTTTCTGTAAAGTTGATAGTATTTGAGTAAAAAATTATTCAAGATCAATATTTGGCAATTTTTAGTAATTAATATCTTATTAACTATTGCGAAAATTGTAAAATGGTAGAGGACTTTTCAACTCAGTTTAGTCCGCTCTATCTACACAAAAGTGATTGGCAAAAAAGGTTGGGACATCCTGTATATTTATGATATATATTATTCCATTTCTTTTGAGATACTTGCTTACCGCAAATAAAATCATCTGTATATTATGAGATTAAAAAAATCATCTCTATATTTATTACTCTTTCAACGCGTAAATGTGTAACTGATTTTATTTTAAAGACATATCTAGGATACCAGACTTATAAAACATTTTACATGACTATTTCCGCAATCAATAAATAGTAAATAATGATTTTCATAATTTTTCCTGGACTTAGACAAATAGTAATCTTCTAGAAGATCTCACAAACAATTTCCAATGATTAATTTACGCAATTATGTAAAAAGCAATCTTTAATATCTTTTTTAAATCATTTTTTTCTTATAAATAATAATAATAAATTAATAATTAAAATTAATTTTTTTATACTGTATTACAATCTTCTGATTCTTTAAATTTTTATAATTCCGATCGTTTTTTTGTAATTGTTTTTACAAAACTATATACGTACATATTATAATTTAAAAATAGGATAAATTATATTGTCTTACCACATGAAATTTTTAAGGTACATCTGCATAGATAGTCAAGACATTCAATTTCGTTTCCACTTTGTGCGATTGTTTCTAAATCTTCAGTGAGTATTAAAGATTCTCGAACGAATATGTTAAAATATTCTTTCATCGGAATCATACCAAATGATGGAGCTATTATTTTTCGACTTTCAGTCCATGTAGATGCTAAAATAAATATTACAACAAAATGATAAAAGAGAAAGTAACAAGCCTTAATTAATAATAATAAAAAATATTTAAAAATAAGTTGCTTCTTAAGGTAGTACAGTCGTGACAATATCATCCAAAAGTTTAGTCCCGTCACGGCGCTTGGTGGTAGGGATGTGCGATCTCCATTAATTGTATCGATTTATGAATCGATTTAAAATCGGATTGATTGAAATCGATCTATTAAAAGATCGGGACTGAATGAATCGATCTATTGAAGATCGATTCAAATTTTTTTGTGATACACATCTCACGAGAAATGTCAATGGAATAGACATCGAATCGATGACAATTTGATGATTTCTCACTGCGATTGTAGAAATTCAACAAAAACAATTAAAACATGATTCTGATTTGTCTCCGAGTAAAATAATTTTAATTTAAAATAAAAATCTAGGTTCATTCTAACATCTGTAGTTATGACATAAATCAATTACTAATATAAAATCGGTAAAATATCGTATATAAATTCAATTTGATAACAACTGTCAGTGTCAATTAGTATAAATTAGAATTTAACTAGCATTTATTTATACATTTTGTCAGTAGTAATTACTAGTTGTAACTACGGATATTATTAAATTAATGTTAACCAGTAACGTGTAAATGCAGGGAATGTAGGCACAGTAATGATATTATAACTTTAGATTCTTTGGAACACGACATGTAGAACTAATTTTCAATAAAATAATTTAACTATTTTTTATTGTATATATTATAAACCATATTTGTTTATAATAGTGCAACAAAATCACAATAAAAATTACTACATAAAAACATACGACTTTTTAAGTTTTTAAATGCCTATACTTATAAGAATCAAATCTGATAACGGTTGAACGATGTAAGT